AACACTAAAGCCACCTTGCTGTCCTTTCTCTTCCCATGACCTCTATGAAGAATAGAGAAATGACTTGCTATTAACTAGAGATTTTTTTCTTACATTAATGCATACATGCTCTGACATTTTAATGAGAATACCCATCATGTATTGCCCGTAGGTAAGTTTTGCCGTTTGATCCATTTGGTTCCATGCTTATTTTGTTCCTTGGAGTAACTGAGAAAACACATCGTTGCAGTGATCACTGGAGGAAAAATATTCCAGTTCTTGCAAAATCTCACCGGGTTTACTCCATTGATCTTATTGGTTATGGATATTCAGATAAACCAAATCCTCGTCAAATTATAGATGACTCATTTTATACTTTTGAGACATGGGCTGCTCAATTAAATGAGTTTTGTGTTGATGTTGTTAAGGATGAAGCATTCTTTGTATGCAATTCCATTGGAGGTGAATACTTTCGAAACTCTGATTTATTTTTCATCATGTTTCCCCGCAAGGATCTGACAATTACTCCTTTTCATCTATTCTCTGTTGTAATTATTCATTTTACTTCTTTGTTTGCACCTGTCACTTGAAAATTTTATAAAAAATCATCAATAGTTATGACTGATTAGTCTTCCATACAAACCTAAAATAAAAAGAATCCACCGATTGATGTGATTATTACCATGTTATTTTGGAATCCTAAAAATTTACTCAATGGAACTGCATGAATCGTCCCTTGGAAATGCAAAATGCTAGCGGGAGTCATTTAAACGAAACTCAGTGTACAGATTGCTTTAAATTGATGTCCTCAAGGTTACAAGAACATCCTTCAAGATCTCAACCTAGTCTAGCCAAATCAAGCATAACATTTTGAAATAAACTAGAACTTCACTTTGGAGGAGTTAGATAGAATACTATCAATATACTTTAGAAATAAACATTTTGAAGGACTCATTGCTGATGTCCTTCCTAAGAATCTTAGAAGATCTTTTCTCCTCAAATGTCTATAAGCTGGGTGTATGATTCTTTGCTCCATCTTGAGGACAAGTCTTGATGGTTATATGTAAAAGAAGAATATTGACTGACAAGCACTAGAACATAGAGTTATTATGAGTTGATTGACGGAACATAATGGTGTGCAATCAGTTGTCTTCTCTTTCCTAAGGTTATTGTAAAGCGACTATCTTTCTGTATCGCATGAGTCATACACAATACTTGGGATTTCAGTTTCTATACTATCAATACACATTTGTTCCTTATTTTTCAGGGGTGGTTGGTCTTCAGGCGGCAGTAATGGATCCACAAATCTGCAAGGGCATTATCCTTCTCAATATATCTCTGCGTATGCTTCATATTAAGAAGCAGCCTTGGTATGGAAGACCTTTCATTAGAACATTCCAGAAATTGCTTAGGTACAAAAGAAATGCAAGATTCTTCATGTTCACTTTCAGGTAAAATTTGCCAGGGAAAATTTTTACTATTCCCTTCCTGACCTTACAGGGATACTGCTGTTGGCAAGTTGTTCTTCAATGCTGTTGCAACTAAAGAATCTGTGAGGAGCATTCTTTCCCAGGTACTACCCTGTCATTGTCGAATGATTACATCTGGATGCAGATGTTATAGTAAATACTCTCCACTGTAATGATACTTGTTGCCTTCAAATTTTTTCTAGTGCTACCACGATACCTCCAAAGTGACAGATGAACTTGTGCAAATCATCCTTAATCCAGGGCTGCAACCTGGAGCAGCAGAAGTATTTCTTGAGTTTATATGTTATTCAGGTGGTCCTCTTCCTGAGGAACTACTACCCCAAGTGAAAGTAAGCTTCCTCTTCCCGCTGTGCTCTCAAATAAAAAAATCCTAGACATGTGTCTCGTGGGGAATCAAACAAGTGAATACAAGTTAAAAAGCTAAAATGAGATATTTTATTTAAAGTTCTCTGTTTTTTTTTTTTTTTTTTTTCCAGTGCCCAGTTTTGATAGCATGGGGTGATAAGGATCCGTGGGAACCAATCGAGATTGGAAGAAACTTTCAGGATTTTGATTCTGTAGAAGACTTCGTTGTCCTTCCAAATGTTGGTCATTGCCCCCAGGTTCGTGCTGTGTGTTACAGCGGTGTCATGTTCATGCTCTTTCTACATGGCTTGAGTATTCGAAAGAGAATCCTTTCTCATTATATAAATGTGATATATGCAATATCTATTATATTTCTATCATCATTACTTAACAGTAATTGTCCTTTCTCATTGCTTCGTGTATTTAATGTACAAAACACCCTTTTCATACACAAAACCCCTTTTTTAATTCTATTTTATTTATAATCCATTCCAATTGTACCAAACTGCCTGTTAATTCTTGGGTGCCATTTTTGGCTAATACCCAGAAAATCTCCCGCTCTTCCATTCTCTCATTGTATAATTTCTCTCTTTCTATTAGTTTTTACGACTTTATTTTGTTTTTGGTTATGATGTCATTGATTATTAAATCCAAATGATTGCATGAAGGATGAAGCACCTCATCTTGTGAACCCACTTGTGGAGTCCTTTGTGGCAAAGCATGCTGAATCCTCATCTATTAACTCCTCAACAGTTAGCTGATTGGACTTGGCTGTTAGTCAGTTGATGCTGCTCAATGCACTGGAGTGGTGTATGTTTCTCAAATCAGAATTGAAGCCGTCGGGAATGCGTTTCATTTTTTCTTGTATATATTCAAGCATTACACACGTACTTGTGTCACATATCCGTGGTAAATGTGAAAAAATTATCTGCCAGTTGCCGGCCCCACCACTAATTTTGTGGTCCTTCAATGTCTTCCGATGTATTTACATGTAATCATACTTTATCCGTTTGGGAATTGTATATGGCGCTTCTTTGACCTCATGTTGTTCCAGTTTCCGGAACCAGTTGAAGTTTCTGTTCATTTCTGAATTCTGATACCATGATTGGTTAAAAATGCAGTCCGCACAGGGTGATATTGAAGCTTTTTGTCAATTTGTTTAATTTGGTTATTCATGTGTGTCTATGTTTTTATTCGCGTATGCCTGCGTGTGCGCAGGTGTGCATGGGAGAAAAATTTTTTTTTTTTTTTTCCTGGTTTCTTGTAATCATCAAAGAAGGTGATTGGGAGTGTTACGGGTATAGGTTTATGCCAACTGATGGTCGGTGCATCTTCTACTTGGTAGAGTTATCAAGAGTTGTGGCTCATTTGATGCGACCGAAGTGTCTTGGAACTTTGACATGCCCTGATCACTCCCAACCCTCTATGCCTCCTTGTAATCAAAAAAGAAAGAGAAAAAAAGATAATGCTTTATGTTGCAAGGAGATTAATGAGAATAGGGATTGAATAAGTATTGAGTTAATAAGTGGTGGGACCGCTGGCCATCATAATTTGTAATTCACGCTTGATCTCCCTAATGCGATCATCAATGACCCCAAAAACAGGGCATCCCTCTCCCAAAGTGTTATTAAAATGGCTAATGGTTTTATGACCTAATAGCACGTCGCAGTCTACTTTTAGCAATGAAAGATTGTAGGTTTGATCTCTTTCGAGCATTTATTTATGTGATGTAATTTAAAAAAGGTGCTTTTAAGATAGATTCTTCGAAATAACTTTATCTAAAATGAGAGAAGAGATATACACACGAGTTTGTCTTTTAATATTTGAATCTCATAGAAGTAGGAGCTACCACCATTCTAAATTTATCTAGTCTCTCACTTTAAGTGATTCATTTTGAAGCTGTTAAAGGGAATCCCCAGTTATAACTCGTGTCTACTCCACAAAGCCACTGAAATTAAAGCTAATGGTTCTATTCTGTAGTGGCCATTATATGGTATATATTGCTTTTGTTATGTTGCAAAGTAAAGGCATAAAGCGTCTAGCTCCACAGCTAGTTGGCGGATGACATACACCAACTCCTCCTCTAGTTATAAAGGAAAAAGGAAAACCAACCAACGATCATCATCGTGCTCATTCTTTCTTTATGTTATTGATAATAATGTCCAAGAAGTTGAAGAAGCGATTTCTTGTCAAGGATTTCTCGTCATATGTTACAATGATTCCGCTGTCAGTCATGATGAGTCCAAGATATATGAAACAAACTTGTGTGAAAATGGTGGACCACCGATGGCCTAATGTCAGATTCAAACACTGGCCGAACATCGTGCATATTAGACTTTTGTGAGGAAAAGTTTGTTTATCACAATTTTGCAATTAGAGGAATAATTCGTTTCGGTGGTTATACACAATATAATGGGAGTTAATTATATGAATTTGTATTGGTCAGATAAAGGTATTCACTTTTTTTTGTTAAAAAAAAAAAGAGAAAAAGATTGTGAGGAAAGCACAAAATTAAAGGAAGAGAAATGACAGCCACTAGGGTAATGGGGCTATATCAGGATAAGCAGGTCGTGCATGTTAATTATGGTGCGAATGCAGTTCCGCAGCCCTAATCTTTCAAGAACTTAAAAAAAAAAAAAAAAAAAAGCTAAAATCAGCGTCTTCATTCCCTTCCGTTATGTCCATTAATTATCTATCGTATGTGAAAGCCAATCACGAATTAAGATACTCTTCCGGTTATTAATATAGGACCTAATTGTTGAGTTAGTTTTGATTCTAAATATAAGATCCATTTCTCATATTTATCAATTTTCTCTAAATTATCCCTATGGATACTCCATCAACTATAATTAATTAAGTAGAAGAGAAAGATGAGGTATTAAGAAAGATGATTATGGTATTTTAGTAAAAACGTGTTATATTTTTTATAATTAACTAACTTATCTAACTTTCTTAATCTAATCAAATTAGTTAAATTGGTATTATATTAAGAACCGGAAGAGTAATTATGTATGCATAAATATAAATATATGCGCGCCATACCTTCATCACGATCTAATGTATAGAGTGGAGCCAAGTGTTAGGTTTGTAGGTTCGGTTCTTGCCTTGAAGAAGAAGAATAGCATTCTAAAAGCCAAGGCAATGAGAGAAATGGAGGCACGTGGAGAAGGATACATATGTGTGTGTGTGTGCGGAGGCTAGAGGAGGAGGGGGGTGAATATAGAGGAATGATGTTGGGGTGTGGGTGAATGGTGATGCAGAAGTGACGACAGGGAGGAACCATTTTTTTCTTTTTTTGAATTGAGAGAGGAACCACTTTATGGAAACGGAGGGGCAAGCAAGAGAGGGGAGGGAGAATATGTATATAAAAGCATTACGGAACCAATGAAGAGGAAGGGAGGAGTGAGAATGTGGTTTGACTGAAATTAAGAATCGGATGCGGCCATCTCAATTCTCACGCGTCATACATATGCAGCTCCCTCCTTAGCTATACCTACTTCTTCAACGTTGCCATCATTCAGTATTATTTATAAGACGAGACGCGATGCGATGCGGCCTTTGCTGGATCGCTGCTCATGTCATGGCTAAACTCAAGAGGGTGTGTGTTTTCTGCGGAAGCAGACCTGGCAACAGAAACATATTTAGTGACGCTGCCCTCCATCTCGCTACACACCTCGTACGTAATTCCTCCTCTCCCTCTTTCTCTGATCTCTCATCTCTCTCTCTCTCTCTCTCTCTCCCTATTTCATATATATATATATTTATATATATAATTCAATTCATTGTGCAGGTTGAGAGGCGGATGGATTTGGTGTATGGAGGAAGCAGTACTGGATTAATGGGTGTGGTTTCCCGGACAGCACACCAAGGCGGCTGTTCTGTGGTAGGGTGAGACGACTCCCTCTCACCCATATATGTAAAACCTTGAACTTGTTTTTAACTCACACCGTACCTATAGAATGAAACCAGAAATTCTAGACATCATTGGCATGTCACGCCGTGGCCCTAAATTCAACTTTCTCAGCACTCATCATTAAATTAAAGTGATTCCAGTTCTGATTCATCATTTCCCTTTTTGAAACAGAATCATCCCGGCTGCACTCGTTCCTGCTGAGGTATCGTATTCGTACACATGAATGATGAGTCAAACTCATCTCTCTGAGGATCAAAACTTAAGCCTGATTGTATTATGCACACACACAAACACAGAATAGACATGAAGAATGAGGGAGTTGTAGTTTGAGTCATTGATTATGGGGTGTACGTGAGGTAGCGCAGATATCAGGGCATGCAGCGGGACAAGTGTTGGTTGTTTCGAGTATGCACGAAAGGAAGGCCGAGATGGCTCGTCGAGCAGATTGCTTCATTGCACTCCCCGGTACTTATTTAATTATTAATCAACTTCATATCTCTTTCATCAATTCATACCAATCATATTACCATATATCATTTTAATTATTGAACATACATACATACATACTCGTATGTATAGGAGGATACGGAACCATGGAAGAGATGCTGGAAATCATAACCTGGTCTCAGCTCGGCATCCATAACAAACCAGTAAGTTCTCCTCTCTCTAATCTTCATCCCCTCATGGACTTTGTTTTCTGATCTATTACGTGCTCCTCCCCCTTCATGAAACCGTGTTCGGACCTGAAATTCCTTGGATAATTTATTAATAATCTTATATCAATTTAAATTAATTTGGGAATCTCAATTTGCGTGTTGCCAATTATTAAATCTTGTAGTCTTTTCTAAATGACAACACATTGTATACGCCTTGTTGTATGATTCCGTTGGACTAAATAAAACTTCAAAGAGAGACTGACGTATAGAGATATCAGTGGTTTATTATATTAAATATTGCTCTCTATATCTTTTGGCCGTCGTCCATTGACCATCCAGGTACATTAATTTAATAATAATAATAATGTGCTAATGTTGATATAACGTGGGCATGCTATCAATACCTTAAATAAAAATTAAAGAAATAGTACCGTATATCAATAGCTACATCTGGAATAAATTCTACGCACGCCGTATTGGAAAGTTTTAGTATTAAGATTAGTAAACGCAACCACGCTATTATAATATAAAGCCTCGATCTGACCAAAGAAATACGATAAAATAACAACCAAGTCGAGAAGTGTTATATATATCTTTCTAGGATTATGAACTGGTTAATCTTCGTTCGCTCCACGCCCTCCCGGCACATGGTTAATTATTTTCTTTGATTAGATACCATATGTTTGTTAAGATTTTTTTTATGATGACCTTTTTTGTTTCTGTAAAAATGTCCGCATCCCCTTTTTTAATGGAAATTAATAAATGAGATGCTTAAGTTTATATACTGAAATTCCAATCAAATCAAAGTAAGTGAATTTTTTTCATGCATTATGTATTCTAGATTTTTTTTTTCCATTTTTTCTGATTTGGTTTAATAAAAGTATATTGAATACATAAGTTTAAGCATATGATACTTCTTCAGGTAGCTAATCATTCTTTTACTGTGATTTTTTTTTTGCTGCGTAGAGGTATTCTTCTATTAGAAATAATTTTGTTTGGAGCATTACCAATACTAAACTCTCTCGGTAGGAACTTAAATATTAATTCAGCACGTTATGAACGATTGACCTTTTGCTAAACCTAATCCTATTGGTTGGAGTGAATTGTTTTAAAACAAAGAGTGGCGTTACTGCGGGCAGTCTTTATAATGATGATTGTTATTAACTAGAAAATAATCTGCCACGCTCCACACACGTGATAAATGTTTGAAGGAACAGGATCAGTTGGACAGTCGTTTAGACTCACTCTGAAGACAAACTAGATTTAACTGATTCTGGCCAAAGGGGATGTCTTCGAATTCACGCTCGCGCTCCAATTGCATATAACTCGAAATCTCTTAATTATTCAGTCTAAGAAAATAATTGATTCACACGCGATTGCGTTAACATTAATTAATCATATTGATATGGGGCTGCTCAGCACTTGCGTCTCAAATTGGTCTCCTCTCATTGTGGGTATGTGTGATAGGAACGGCCATGATTATGACGCAACAACCATTGTTTAGGTACATGATTGAACTACTAATCCTTGTAGTTGAAGCAGGAATTTGGTAACACAAGTCACAAAACTGACATGAAGTTGGTTGGCTTTGAAATGAATTCAGTAGTCCCTCAACAGGCCTAGTCACTACCAGTAAATAAGACAAACACTCCACAATGTTAACAACACAAGTTGGACATGAACCATGATGCTCTGTGCTTCCGAATGAATAGGTTGGGATCTTAAACGTGGACGGCTACTACGATTGCCTGCTTGCATTGTTCGACAAAGGAGTTGAGGAGGGATTCATCAAACCCGCCGCCAGGAATATCGTCATATCTGCAACCACCCCGGAGGAGCTGCTCCGCAAGATGGAGGTAACACTCCCTCGCTCTCTGTTTAATTGACTTTTCCAACTTCCTTAGCAAGGATCAAATCTTCGTTGCCTGTTTACCCTTGCACCCAGAAGCTGTTACAAAACTTGTATCATCGTTACAGCCACTTCACATGCAACTAAAATGAAAGTAGAGGCGGATTCATTCCTCTCCTCAACAACAGTAAAAGTAAATGTGATTCAATATGCATGACGCAGAGGCCAGCTCCATTGATGAGTGTCATCTTCCAATCTGCAAATCAGTTCTGTGAAAATTCGCTCTCCATGGGCTTTGCTAACAACTAACAACTGAGCTCAAGGTTTACAAGCATTTTCTGTTTTTGCAGGAATACACACCCGTGCATGAACAGGTGGCACCGCATGAGAGCTGGAGCAAAAATGAAAGTACAGATTCACAGTAATTTGTATTTTTGAATAAAATAACAATTGCCCTGTGTCTCCATGCTTCTGAAGTCTGAAGCAGTAATTTGTACTTTGAAAAAGGATCTGTCTGTCTTTGAACACTAAAGGCAGCAATGTGAGTATGAGCCATGATGGGCTTTATAAGGAACAGATCCCCAAGAATTGAAATAATTTAAAATGCTGTCTGAATCAATATTTTAATATCCAGAGCCAACAGAAATTAGAAAAAGCGAGAGCAAATATACCTATTGTCGAAGGAAATTCTTAACTTTCTCAAGGGGAAAAATTATCAACTAATCATACATGAGGATCTAAAGCACAGACAAAAAGATTATTGCGGACTAAACCCCTTCGCTATTCAGATATTGTAAGGGGGGTGGCTTCCGCTCAGAACGCAAATACATCCTTATATTTATCGATTTTCATGGTCCAATGCGGAAAGAAAACTCAAAACTCGTGTCGGACATCAAGTGGGAACCCAGCAACGATTTCAGACCACCCCATTGGCCTAAAGAAGCAAATTTCACATGATCAAGATAAAGAACTTCAATACTGTTTCTAAACTAGGTGAACAAGTATTCTTGCAATTTTTCACTTTACGAATGATCTTTGTAGTACACCTTCAAATCAATTATAAACTCCGTCTCTTCTTGACATTGTTTTTCCAGCTTGGAACCTAGTCCTGCTTTGTCATGTCCTCTCATACTAAAGAGGATTTTCTTCTTGATAAACCCATTTGAAAAATCTAAAGCTCCTTCAAAATTCAAATTGATTGAACAATGATTATCCAATGAAAAACATGAACGACATGAGCAAATTCACAGACCTAACTCATAATTGTCTCCTAACATTGTATAATGTGCATCAATAATGAACAAACTGAGGCTCAATTGTTTTTATATTACTGAGGGGATATTTCATTCTGGAATAAATTGTTCAGGGCCTTTGGAGATAAATGAGCATGGCCATAGGTTTAGAGAGGCTTGTGCTTATATGATTCAAAGGACTTGGCAGAATCAAGAGAGTTGACAATCTATTGCCATGTGTTGTTTTTCTTGAATTGAGAATATTTAGCTAGAGCAGAATGTTACTATTTCCAATGGTACATTCTTGTATTAATATGCCCTGTCCCTATGTGCAAGGATTTTGCTTGGGTGTCTTCAAGAGGATGTCTCTTTCAAGGTCTGCTAAGGGTTGGGGCAGTTTTGCCACGTAGTTAAATTTTTATCTCTTTTACTTTTGTTGTTCAGTTTTATTCTTTGACCTGCTTTACGGAAGATACCATGTCCTCCTTATCTTTCTCCTCTCAATAACATTTCTTTTTTCAGAAAAACAAAATCATGTGCTGTAAGCACCAAAATAAGAAAAATAGGCATAGCCCGAGACAAGATGGTAAGTTTGATTGGAAGAATCACCAAGAAACTACTTTCTGAGTTTAACGATGAAATAATACAACTACTATATCCATTGAACCTAGCATACTGTCCATCGCAAAGACATAGTATGCAGTCCAATTATTGATTACCCGCATTGATTATCAAGAAAAAGTTTATAGGTCATTACTTGTTTCTAACCTTTTCTGAGTTAATTACAAAACCATTTTCCAAACATCAAATGGAAGTCTAAGCTTTGAAATATTAACGTTACCCTTGCCTTCAAGCCTTCATGGAGTTACTATTTGGTTAGGTCGTGGAGTCAACAAAATATTTAATGAGATGAAAATAGAGACATAATCTAGCACCTTCTAAGACAATGCAGAAAGTCAAGAAAGACGATGGAAAGAGGAGATTCTGTTGAAGGTATATAGAATCAAGACAATTAACATAATTCATCAGCAACCAATACAATAAAAAAACATGCAAGTACAACAAGAACTCAAGAAACTTAAATCAAACCCCATTGTATGAATCTGAACCTGGATCAATGAGGAAGACAGTGCTAAACCATTAATTTGAAGGAGCATATATAATTTCGCCAACCTGATCAGCATGTATTAATTCCATCCTTACAATCTTTAGTGAGATTATAAAATGTTTCCACGCGTGTCTTCGCCCGATAAAAGACCTCAGTATCCACTGCAACTCTCATGTAGCCATCAAACTCCACGGGTTTTCCGTTGTTCAGAAGCCTAGTTTCATTGTACCATTCACTCGTGTTGCCCCACAATTCCTTGTAATCATCAAGCAAATGGACCTTATAATTAGATCTCAATTTATCAAAGTAATTGTAGTATGGCTCATTGGTGGCAATATACAAATTTCTCCAAGGCTGAATCATCCCTTTAAGCTTTTCAAGAAGAGCATCAGGTGATGTGTCAGAATCTAAATGAGGCCATAGCTCCTTATTTTGTGCTTTCCCCCCTCTAACCACATGGACTGCATCAAAATCCCAGTCCATTCGACCACTAATCTCTGAAACAATATTCATTAATCTCTTTGATTTCCACAAAGCATGCCATGGCCTTTGAATGTACTTTGCAGCCTGACCCTCACATACTCTATACCAGTAATTCTCTGGCTCTGGGGCATCAAACTGCCTCCATATGATCGTGCTTTTATCCTTCTTTAGCTGCAATGGTGTCACCTTATGGCTTACAACCTTCCTAATTGGCACTTTCCTCTTATGGCTCTTATTCCATTTTTTCCAATCTCTCAAAAATTCACCCTCCTCCACAACAGATGCTGTCTCCTTTAGATGCTCAAAATCAAAGTAGTATCTAAAATCCTTTCCTTCCTCATCTTTGTTACTGGGGTTATAAGTTGCAGCCAAGCACATACTCAAGTCCATCACAAATGTTCTATTCAGATAAATTGCCTCTCCCAAGCCACACAAGAAGCTCCACATGTAATGATTCATTCCCTTGCAGTAATCCCCTCCACGTGAATAATACAAGTATTTCCCCTTCCTAAAATTCATCACTGATCCCAAACTGGGGATCGTGTCATTGATCTCATCGTCATGGATCTGAGGGACAACTTTAGGATTTCCACCAGCCCTTGTAGCATTGGTTCTGATCCTGGGGCGCCTGGCATTTAAGCCCGAATGCCAACCACCAGAATGCACTACCTTATATGTACAATTCTCTCCAACACCAAACCTAAACCTCCTAAAATCTCTATACTTTCGCCATGACTTCTCCCTCTTGTTCCGGAACCTCCATGCCACATCACACTCGTCAGGCTTTGACCCATTAACCGGAGTCTGGTAATCCAAGAATGCAATGGACTTGAAGACCTTGAGATTAAACTTTTCGACTGCAATCAACACATGAGGATCTGAACAATTCACGAAACCCAAGTCCTCGCAGTCTGGTAGCGGCGGGGTGGAATTCGTGATTTGGTTCTCGATCTTCTCGATCGCCGCCTCCGTGATTGGGGTTGAGGCCGCTTTGGGCGAGGCGGCCGGGGGGAGGACGGACGGCAAATCTTCACCGGTTTTGATTATGGAATTGTCAGTTTGGAAGGTGGCGTTTTCGGATTCAGTGAAGAGCCTAGTGAGAGCTGGAGCAGATTCCAGCCATGGATCCGGGGGTTGGTAGGTGATGGCAATGACAGTGAAAATGAGAACTGAGAAAACGAAGACAGAAAAGCAGAGATTGCTAATAAGTTTGATGAGGTTTTGCCCAATGGGCTCAGTAGCAGGATTCGATTCTTTCATGGGTTTCTATGGAAACCCAGAATCTGAGGAAAGTCAGGACTTAAGAGTGACAGAGAAAACGGGGGATTATTGGAGAAAGAGAAGACGGTAGGAAATGGAAGAGAGAGCGTAAGAGAAGGGCTTACAGAGGCGGTGGGTGTGGCTGTGGCCGTGACGTTGATGGCCGATCTGAATCAAGTCAGTTCAACTTCTCTCTGCGACTTCATTTTACCGCGTGTCTTCACTTTTACGACTTACTACATTTTATTCTTTATTGGAAAATTACAGAGTCTCAAGAAGCAAAATTTATTCACCTCGTCGGGTCAAAAAAAAATTTATTCACCTCGGACTTAAAGAATATCAAAATTAATAGCAGGTACTAAGAGATCTTACAGTATTATATTACAATTGTAAAATGATATTTTATCCCTCCTAATCTAAGGTTCCTAATTCAAAGTTTAGACACTCTCCGTCTTGCCTCAGCATTCAAACTACTCTCTGCCTCTCGCTTCAGCATCTGAAGTAAAGGCATCAGCCACATAGCGCCTCTCGTACTCGCTGTCTCTCTATTCATAGTTATTCCCAGGCATCATGTCTCCCTTTGTGGTCACTCACCATGGTATAATTGCTTCCCTATTGTGTCATCTCTTCTTTTAGCAATCAATTTGTCATCTGTCGTCTCTCCAAGTCATAGTGAGCCTCTCGACATCTTTGTTTGTCGCAAACTGTACATCACCATATTGCGTCTGTCCCTATTGCAAATTATACGTCGCTAATACGATTGACAACCTTAACGGTGAATGTTAACAACCCAAGAGGAAGCTGTTGATCTAAGCAGTATTGCTGACAATTGACTCTGTGAAATAACACAACCTCTAACCAAATAGTATTATTATCATATATAATAACTTTAAGAATAAAATAAGAAATTGTTTCAAGGCATTAACAGTTTTAAGTACATGAAATTGAATTACATCAGAATTTTATTACAAAGATCTATTAACAACCTCAACGGCGAGTATTAGCAACCCAAGGGGAAGTTAGTGACAATCTAGGCAGTGTTGTTGACAACAAACTCTGTAAGATAACATAACCTCTGCATAATATCAAATTATAACCAAATAATATCATATAACAACTTTAACACTAAAAGCATGTGTGAAAAAATCATGGAACATTGGAAATACATGAAATTGTTACTTTATATCAGTAACTTAATTCAGATAGCCATTAATAACCTCCACGGCATGTAATAACAAGCCTATGACAATTTATTAACAAGTATAACAAAATAAAAATATGAGATTACATCAGATTACTTGCAGATGTCATTTACCACTTCATATATATATATCTACAATGTAACTACACCAAATTTA